GCTTTGAAGCTTTAAAAATCATTTCAAAGAGCCTGGGATTATTGCTCAGTGGTAGAGTGCTCACCTAGCATATGCGAGGCCCTGGGTTCGATCCTCAGCACCCCATAAATATAAACAAATAAAATAAAGGTATTGTGTCCAACTACAATGAAAAAAAAAAAAAAAAAAATATATATATATATATATATATATATATATATATGCTTTAAAAAAATCACTTCAAAGTATCACGAAACAGTAAAATTGGCATATTATATGGGAAAAGAACTGACACAGCCAACAGTGTTTACATGTGAAAACCTGAAACCACTCCACAGTCCCCTGACCACTTGTGTGCTCAAATACCTCAGTTGCTTTTAGGAAGCCTATTATTACACCAAATTATTTCTAGTTGTCAGGCTAGAATAATACATCAATATATTTTAGGACTTAGGTCAGAGACAGCAAGAGAAAAGTAGATCCCCAGTGTTCCAGTAGGATAATTAAAGTAAGAACAAATATGATTCATGAAATTGTCTCTGCTCAGAAGCCTTCAATTAGAATTATCTGGAACCATTAAGAACAAAGAATAGATAGCAAGCAAGAAACAGCAAGAATAAAGAGGTGGCTCAGGAGAAGGGCTCAGATCATAGGCTCCACAGTTAAGGCAACAATAGGACTGACCTAAGACCTACTTTAGGATGATAGGAGTGTTTGGTAAGTAGACTCCCAGCACAAAAGACCCTAAGATGTCAAAAGGGTTTTAACTGACCTTGGGGCAAGCATAGGAGTCACACAAGAAATAAGCACTGCCCACTGCAAGTTCCAATTCTCTTCTACAGCTCATTAACTGGGGAACATCCTAAAAAGGAGATACTAACCCAGGAAATGCTAACCACAAAGCCATAGATAGTGTTGTCAGTCCCTTGACAGCCCCAGGGAAAGGGAGCAGTTGATCCACTTCCTCCCATTAAGCCACTACATCCTCCCAACCTCCCCCATCACTGGCCTTGTATTCACCAACTAGTTCCTCCTCAGAAATTATTTTTTAACTTTTTACTTTCTTTTCAAGGTCATTCAGGGGCACCTCACATACACACTCCAGCTCTGCATGGGCCTTACCTGAGCCTGGAAGTTTCCCATCAAAACCTACAAATGGGATTATACCTTATCTAGAATATCATCTAAATAATATAATAATAGGCTTACTGGAATACAGGGCTGCAAATATTTGAAAATTCTGTAAAGAAGCCAATTAGTATTGTATATTACTTTTCCCAGGTTTATGAAATTGGAAAAATTGAACTTGTGTTTGGGGTTTGACATTATAAGTTTTTTCTACATGTTCGAATTAAGTTTTATATGAATTAACTATGGATATTTATACATCAGGAACTAAAAGCTTGGAAAAAACTTTTTAAAAATCAATTTTCTAAAAGATCCAATTTAATGAATGTATCGGTTGCTTATGGCTACTGTAAAAAAATTGCCATGCATTGGATGGCTTAAAACAAAAACAAAACTAAGTAAATAAATTAATTTAAAAAAAAAAAAAAAAACCTAACAGTCCTTTCTCACTGACCCAGCAGTTTTGCCCTAGCTACTGCTCTGTGAATGGAGGCTCCTTCACTCAGAGGTATGCCCAGTGACCTCCTGCATTTAGTAATGGAAGGAGGGAAACAGCAGTTATTTGCTGTCTGTTGGGAACCCCACACAGTGCTCTGAGGTCAGATCACAGCTATGACTGCCTTTAAGAGGCAGATGGCAGAGGGCCACAGACGTGGCAGTGCCACAACCCCCCCAGAACACTTTCCCCTCTTCTCTAACTGCCAATTTTTATGTGTCAGGATCTTTGTCATCATTTGGTGCCAATTCCCATCAGAACTCAACTGGTGCTCCCCAGTGCAGAAGTAATGGAGCTAAGGAGGCTGTGTTACAGAATTCGAATTCCCACCTCTGCATAGACCACAGAAACTCCCTTGACAGGTATCTGCCCACAATTCTCCATATTATAGCCCAAAAAAAGGTGTCACAGTCTCAGTTCCTAGGAGAGCTGCTCCCTAGGACATAGGCAGCAGATGGGAAAGCTCAGCTGTAGGATTATCCTGCTGATCTGAGAGTTAAGAACAGAGGCTCTGAAATTGAGTGGGGTTTAGGTTTGGGTCTTCTTACCAATTGTGCAGCTTGAGGCTCCAGTTTGGAAATGCTAAAGGATATTGGTAGTATGGTGTTGTGGGTGACTAGGGAGAAGGGGAGTGTTTCACAAACACACCAAAAATGTCCATCTGTCTAGTAACTGCAGGAATGCCTTTTTAAAAATATACATGGGATTAGTTATATATTTCTTATTCAGAATCTACAAAAATTCCAAGGCTAATAGAAAGGAGAATATGGGCAGATGCCTGAAACTTAATCCACTAGAGGAAGAAATCCACAGGGTGGGATTCTTGGGGTAAGTTTTATAAATGTATCATTCTAGCTTTTTAGGAACGAGTCAGGGGCAGTGGGTATAGCTCAGTGGTAGAGCACTTGACTAGCAGAAGCAAGGGCTTGAGTCCCACCACCACAAAAAAAGGGAGGGGGGATGAGTCAAAAGCATTATTTTTTAAAATATCTTTTTAATATGGACACAATATCTTTATTTATTTTTCTTTTTAAATATTTATTTTTTAGTTGTAGTTGGACACAATACCTTTATTTTATTTATTTATATGTGGTGCTGAGGATCCAACACAGGGCCCCTTGCATGTGCTAGGTGAGCACTCTACCACTGAGCCACAACCCCAGCCCTCTTTATTTATTTTATTCATTTTTATGTGGTGCTGAGGATTGAACCCAGTGCCTCACATGTGGGAGGCAAGCACTCTGCCAATAACCCCAGCCCCCAAAGCATTTTAAGGCTCTATGAGTAGAAAGTATTTAATAAAAAAAATGTTTGTCCATATGTTTGCTGGTACACAAGGAAATGCTTTCAATAGAACCCACTATACAAATCTCAGTATTTCAAAATAAGTAAGTTACTGCCTTTTTGAAATATTCAACCATTGTTTTTTTTTTAAATCTTAAGCACATTTCAAAATTTCTTAAACATGTTTAAAATAAGATTTTACTGTTTTTTAAAGTTTTTTTAAAAATTCATCTATTGCATGCACATGGAAATTTGTGCAAGGGCTGGATTATGATCCTCAGCACCCCTTGTAAGCTTCCTTTAAGCTCTTCTTGGAAAGTAACTATGACATTCAGTCAAATTTAAAATATGCAAAGGACAGCACTTTGAAAATTATAAAGCAATAGCTACATGCTAGGCATTATATAAATTAAATACAAATTTTAAAGTATGTGGCCTGGGATTTGCTTTGAAATAATGGAAAGGGTTGGTAATTGTTGAAACTGGATGATGCATATAATAGTTCATTATAACACTTGCTCTTTTGTATATGTGTGAAATTCTCAATGATAAAAGGGTTTTTGTTTTGTTTTGTTTTGCTTAATATCTTTATTTTTATTTATTTATTTTTATCGGGTGCTGAGGATTGAACCCAGGGCCTCACACATGCTAGGGGAGCATTCAACTGCTGAGCCACAACCCCAACCCCTGATAAAAAGTTTTTTAAGAATAAAATCTACGTGGAGCCTTAGAAGTTTAAAAACACTTCATTTTATAGATGAGAAGAACCATCTCAGAGAGGTTAAGTAACCTTCTAGAAGTCACACAGTTAACTGCAGAGCCAGGAGCCAAATTTTTGAACTCTAGCTTCTGAGGTCCTTCCATGGCCCCACACCAGGGGCCTCAGACAGAAATAGGTTCCTCTGGCCATTATTCCCAAATTCTTCAAACTCCCAGGCGGTACTGGAGCCTGCTGGGGAGAGGGAGGGTGCTGGAAGAAGCACTGCTAGGGCCAGAGCCAGAAAGCTCTGGGCTCTTTCCAAAAACAGCAGGGGGAGGGGGAGGAAGGGAGGTTCTCTGCTGGTCTCCTCTGTCACTGACACCTGGAGCAAGAGTCACCAGAGAACCTGCCTTGGCCCAGGAAATATGCTTATTCTGCCCGCACCCTTCACTCCCAACCTTTCCGAACCACCTCTCTACTGCTGAAATATCAGGGCTCTGGGAGAGATCCCTGGGTTTCCAGACATTCAGGCAAATGGATTGGAAGCAAATTTAACCCGGCGGGGCTGGAACTACACAGTTTGTAGGGGGCCTCTCTGGCAAATAAGATAAGCAGTTGTCAATAGAGATGTAGGAGGAGGAAGGAGCCGCCATTGAGTCCCCCTAAGCCAGGGTAGGATGCGAAACCAAAAGGCTGGACTTGGGAGGGAGACTTCTGAGTGCGAAAGGCGTCCTGACTTTGACCGCTAGAAAAACTGGCGAATTGGCACCAGTGCTAGGTGCCTGGAGCTGATGGTGCTTGGGCAGCCGATTGCGCCTGGAGGACCCAGCGATGCTGGCGTTGTGGGTTCCCCAAACTCAACCAAGGATACAAGCTGAGAACAATCTCAACGTAGGGGAGCTGTGATGCCCTAAGTCCCTTATCACTTTCTGGAACCCTGTTCACATTTGGTTGGATTTGGGGACTTGACTGTACCACTCCCTGAGCCTCTCCGACCCAAGCAAATGGTCCGGAACCCCTGGGCTCCATTTTTCTTCCCACTCTGGTCCATAAGCTGCCTATCTGGGATCCTTCAGAATCTCCCTTGGTTCTCCACCGGGCTCCCCATGGCCTGCCACCTCTCATCTGCGCGCACAAATCTCCCTTGGGCTCCTTAAGGGGCAACTCTCCCTGCTCTCCACTTTCGCCCACACGACAAAGGTAGTGACACCAAGTGTCTCCCGCCTTAAGGTGTGTGCCCCCTGACCCTGAACTGACACTCTGCTGGAGACAACTAGCTCCGAGGGCCGAAGTGATGAATCCCCACCCCCAACCCACCATACGAATCCGCGGCTCTTGACCCGGCACTTGCCCGGCGCTCCCGCTCTCGGTCCCCGACCCCAGATGCCCAGCACCAGCCCCTGGAAAGCTCACCATCGCGGCCGCTCGTCTCACCCGCTCGCTTCCCAGCTGGGCCTGCCCACCCCAACTGCTCCAGATACAGCCGTCTCCGCTGTTGTGACACACTGGGCGGGAGGGGGCCGGGGACAGACATGCCGGGCCAGCAGCTGCCCTGCGGCATCACAGTGCCCGCTGAGGGGAGGGACCCGGGCAGGTCATAATAGCACTTCCCCGCCCACCAGCGACTTAGCTTCAGCCCAGCCGGACTCCTTGGTCCCGTGGTCCTGCCCCGACTTCTAGGGTGCAGCACTCGTTGGGTTCTTCTGCGCTCCCCTGGAGAGGCAGTCCTATTAGCAAAGCGCACGTGTACTCATTCTCTACATACACTCTGGAAGATCAGCCATTTTAATTCCGGCTGCTCAGTAAAGCTATGTAAAAATTCCATAAGAGAGAATATTATTTTTCCCCAAACTTTCTTTTTTTTTTTCCTGCTGCCAGCACTAGCTGGCCCAGGCAGAATAGCACCGTTTTCGTTGACCTCAGTCACCCTCACTCAGGAGAGGTCAAGAGTGATCAGGCATCTTGAAGGACTCACAGGCCAGTTGCTTGTTATCAGTGTGTACTTTGGCAGATTGTTAATGGTGCTTCCACCAAGGCCCACCTGGTTATTGAAGAATTAAACGAAATGACAAGCATTCAGCTCCTGTAGCACAGTAGGTGCTCCAGAATGTATCTGTTCCTATTTTTACCACATCCACAATAGTGGGGGAGCCCTACACTATTATTTTCAAAACTAATTGATTCATTCCTACCTGATGCCTTCCTACTTTTAAGCACCAAATATGCCCATGTCACCTTTCCTAAGTATACCAGATATCAGGGTTCCTGCTACCTCTTTGCTGGATAATAGGACCTCCTCTTTGTGGCCACAGATGATGTTGAAGGACAAGGGAATTTATTTGCCCTCTAGTTGGGAAGAGATGGGAGGAAGTGGACTTGGTCTTACAGAGCCCCTCTGTACACTTTAGATGTTGGTCACTTCATCAAACCCATTCTTCTTTCCCCTTGCCTCCCCAAACTGAGTGGGTGGTTGGATGGTTCTTGTTTCTTGGTCTTACTGCAAAATTCCCCACCAAGAGCCACTTCATGCTGAAGGGTGTAACCTAATTTCTGTCCCCTCCCACATTCCTGAGGCAACTGGAACCTTGCAGGCAGATTGATGATGAGACAGCCCCCTCTCAGCAGGACCATTTGTTTCCTAGGAGCAGAATTGCCCTCCTTCAGAATCATGGGTCTGATAGATAAAGGTCCTGAGTAGCAAGTGGAGATGACCTCCTCAAGAGATAAGAACTTACCTGGAGCCACCTAGCAGAACCAGATCTGAAATAATGACCAATCAGACCACAGTTTGACCAAGACCGTTTGATCTGGTCAAATCAGTATCCAGAGACAGGACTGAGATGCAGATGACCAATAAGTCACTGCAAGCAATATTGTTTTTTCCTGAAGACATTGACATTATGGGAGTCCTGGGCCAGAGGTACAACTCTTGGGGGGGGGGGGTCCCCAAAAGAACAGGTCTGACCACTTACCTCAAATCCAAACAGAAAAGATAATGATGAAAAGCAGGAAAGGAACTACAATCAATATGGCCATGTTGAGAGGTAAGATCAAGCATCTCAGTCCTATCTCTGGGGTACTGATTTGACCAAGATCAACCGGTCTTGGTCAAACTGTGGTCTGATTGGTCATTATTTCAGATCTGGTTCAGCTAGATAGCTCCAGGTAAGTTCTTATCACTTGAGGGAGCCATCTCCACTTGCTGCTCAGGACCTTTATCTATCAGACCTATGATTCTGGAAAGAGGGCAATTCTGCTCCCAGGAAACAAATAATCCTGCTGAGAGGGGGTGGTCTCACCATTGATCTGCCTACAAGGTTCCATTGTTCCTGGAAGGTGTAGAGCGATAACAGAAGACTTCTAGAAGCCATTCCAAGGGGTCTAGAACAGGATGTTATAAAAGCTGGCAAATGAATGTCCCTGCCAATCTTGAAAATACTTTAATTACTCTTATCTTGGTGTCTTTAGCCTGGAAGCAGGGAGATGAACAGCTTCAGATGAACACTCTTTAAGTGATTAACATGACTGTGTGCAGAGTTAAGCAGGAATCTGACCCAAATTTTAAGGTAATAAAAAAGACAAATACAAAAAAAAAGCAGAAATGCCAAGCATTTTCCTGCTTTTAGTTACCTATTGGCATCTGCCAAGCAAAGGTACTTTCAGCAAAAACAGCTTCTAATTCTGTTACTCTGCTGATAGAGCTGCTTTGACAGGATGTAGTGATTCCAAGTTTCCAAGCACAAATTGAGATTTACTTTCCTGACACTCATAAGAGGTGCCTATCTCTGGCCAGTAGAGAATAAAAACAGTTTTTTTCCTTATGCATATAACAATTTGTTTGGCTGACCAACTGTTCACAGATTTTCCAATTTATGCATTTCTTAAGGATAGGACACATGTTTAATCATCTTTGCATCTGAAGGGGTACCAGAATATAATGATTTGCCTGCTTATACATAGAGGACTTAGTAAATTATCATCAAACCATCTTATCTACACCTTGAATGGGTTTTGAGTAAGCCATGACTACACCATAAAAGCTGAATCTTTTGGTTTCAAGGAGATAAAAAGAAGTTTACCAGTTGTAGACTGAATTGTACACCCCAAATTTATATGTTAAGCCTTAACCCCCAATGTGATTATTTGAAGATGGAATCTTTAAGATTACAAGAGATGATTAAGATTTTTAAAAGTACCTGATATGACGGTGCACAACTATAATCCCAGTGACTCAGGAAACTGAGGCAGGAACATCACAAGTTCAAGGCCAGTTTCATCAACTTAACCCTATCTCAAAATATTAAAAGGGCTAGGGATGTAGCTCAGTGGTAAAGCACTTGTCTAGCACATTCAATCCCCAGTACCTCCAAAATAAGAAATTAAATGAAGTAATGAGGATGAGGCCCTAAAAGACTAAATGAAGTCATAAAGACAAGGTCTCATAAAGACTGACATCCATAAAAGAAGAGGAAGAGACATCAGGAGTGTGCTCACACAGATGAAAAGTCATGTGAGGACACAGAGAGAAGGCAAATATCTACATACCCAGGAAAGAGGCCTCAAGATACACCAGCCCTATCTGCACCTTGATCTTGGACTTCCAGCCACAGAAACATGAGAAAGTTAAGTTTCTGTTGTTTCAGCTGCCCATTCTGTGGTATTTTCTATGGCAGCCCTTGTAGACTAAGACAGTGGCCTTCAATTCTTTGGCCTAAAAAACATGTAGCTCTTTTCTGTTAAGCCCTTCTTCTTCAAATTATTTGACTTGTGAAATCCCAGATCTATTATGGAAATATCCCCCATCCCACCCTACCCTACACTTTTTTCCCTGAGTAGAAGTTTGGAAGAGTAAAAGGACATGATTTTTTATTCCCTTGATGTTTAATTTTATGTATCCATATAACAGAGGCTCAGAGTGCCCAAACATTGATCAAATGTTCTTCTGGGATTTCTGTATGGGTGTTTCTGGATGAAATGAACTTTTGAATCAGTGCACCAAATTAAGAAGATCGCATTCCTTCATGTGAATGGGCCTCATCCAATCAACTGAATACAAAATGATATGAAAGGACTGAATAGGAGTGGACTTCTTCCTGCCTGGCTGTTGGAGCGAGGACATTCGTCTTCTTTTGCCTTTGTACTTACACCATCAGCTCTTCTGAGTCTCCAGTCTGCTCACTGTAAAACATATAGCTTCTTGGCCTTCATAATTGCATAAGTCAAATCTTTATAATAATAAGACTGAGGGTATAGCTTCCCTGGTGGTAAAGTGTTTCCCTAGCAATGTGGGTTCAATCCCCAGTGTTACAAATATATCTTTTTTAAATCCAGTTAGGATGTATGAATGTATTTCTCCTTGTATAAATTTTTGTTCTGTAAGGTCATACTATCCAATGTAATAATTATAATGGTGACCCCAAAATTTGAGCCATATTCATTTGAATAAGAAGGTAAGATAATTTCTATTATTCACCAAGGAAAAGAGTCTTCATAATATTTATGTATTTAGCATAATACATGTATATTTAGCATGTATCATTTGCATAATAATTATACAGAATTTCTTGATATGAGCACCTTCTGTATATCAAAAGTCATGCTAAGGATTTTCTACTCCTCACAACAAAACCTCTGAAATTAAAAATTTATTGTCTTTACTTTAGGATGAAGAATCGGAGGCTTTATCAAGAATACAAATAATAATATATGTTGGCAAGGATATGGGAAAAAGGTATATTCATACATTGTTGGTAGGACTGCAAATTAGTATATCTATTCTGAAAAAGCAGTATGGAGATTCCAAAAAAAAAAAAAAACAACTAGAAATGAAATCACCATACAATGCAACTATTCCACTCCTCAGTATAAACTCAAAACATCTAAAATCAGCATACTATAGGGATTCAGCCACATCAATGTCTATAGCAGCACAACTTATAATATATATATATATATATATATGGAACCAGCCTAGGTGCCCATCAACAGACGAATGGATAAAGAAAATGCTATATATACACAATGGAGTTTTACTCTGTCTTAAAGAAGAACAAAATTATGGCATTTGGTGTCAAATAGATGGAACTGGAGAATATCATACTAAGTGAAAAAGCCAAACCCAGAAAGTCAAGGGTTGAATGTTTTTTCTCATATGTGGAAGCTAGACCAAAATAAGGGAAAATAAAGAAAAAGGTGGGGGGAATCCCATGAAAATAGAAGATTAGTGGATAGAGGAAGGGAAGGGAGGTGGGAAGGAAAAAGGGAAGAACAGTAAAATGAATATGACCAAACTTTCCTGTATACATATATGAATATATCACAGTGATTTCACCTTTATTTATATTCACAAGGCACCAATTTTAAAAAATCTATAAATAAATAAAAGATCAGTATAGGAAAGGGAACAGGAAGAAGGAAGTGGGGAGGAAAAGGGGAAGTACTTGGAACTGAATTGGAACAAATATGTCAAAATGAACTCCCAATATTATGTATGTCTATATTGAACTAATAAAAAAGAATCTAAGGCTTAGAAATGTTAACTGTTGCCCCTCATCATACAACTGATAAGTGGCAGAGCAGGAGTT